ATGTTGAAATCAAACAATAGTATCACTTGTATGAAAACGAAAGCTGAAAATTGGTGGCTTTCTCCTACCCAGCTACTTCGGTGAATATGCTTAGAAATTATATTTGTAGTTTCTTGTTATAGTTCTTATGAAAAAAAATATTTGTCATGTTCATTATTCTTCATTTACCTCTTTCCTTCATGTTTTGGCTTGATCTTCATTCCATTTTACATTATGACTAAGATGCATACAAATGCATGCCTACCATCTACATGTAGATTATATAGACGGATGAGATTGCTTCACAACTTCCTTTATTTAACAAGTCTGACATTGGCTTCCTACATTAGCAACATCTTTTCTAATCAAAGGCCAATAAAATCTTTTCTACCCAAAGAAAATAATCTTATCGCAACCTGCATGACCAGCTAATCCTGCTTATTTAACTCTCACACAAGAAACTGTCATAAGGAAGTACGAGTAAACGACAACAAGAAAAATAGGAAGAACACTTTTTTATTTAAAGAAAAAGGAAAGAAACACAAGATACAATAGTATCTTCAATTGGAGAGGAAAAGGAAGATCCGGCTCTCCCAAATCCCTAGCTGTTGGCTAGAGCCATCTCAACCTAAATAATTATAAATTCAACAAAAATCAAGCATAAAAGTTGAACCCTAAGGTAAACAACCTACTTAAGGCATATAAATACATAGCAAATCCCAAAACAACTCTCTCCCTTTTGAATTTCCCTCATAGCCGGCCCCTTCTCATTAAAATCCCCCCCTCCATAACAAAGGGGCTGGATTCATTCAAGCGGAAGCCTATTCCACCTCACTTCAAGGCTCATTCAAGAGGAAGCCTGTTCTTCCTCACGTAGAATCTGGCTGGTCCAGAAGGGACCGGTCCACCATGTCCTTATAAAAGTAATTGACGCATTGTTAAAACCAGTTAACATCATTGGTTGCCATGTAGTTCATCAGATACCTTAAAAACTATCTTCCACTCATCCCCAGGGATGTAATAATACCCTCAAGCTATAATCAATCTTGAAGAATAATAAGGATCTCAAAATTAGATCTAGCATACATCCAATCATTAAATTGAGAACCTAAACTTAACCATAATTTTGTTAAAAAATCTACAATCGACACACATTCTTCATGAGCCATCTTTATTAAGAGTCAGCAAAAAAGGTACAACAAAAATATTTAAATTTTAGCATATAACTCCTTTTGATAGAAGTCAATTAACTTGTCGTTTCAACTTAGTGTGCTATTTTGAGTTCATGAAATAATGAGAAAGATTTGACCATTGCAAATCAAAACAAGATCAAATGTATGCTTGATGTCACACATTATGGGTAACGCATCAAGGAGTTCTAATATCAAATCCTAAAAATCCCCCATGAAATTAACAGCATCAACAAGTATTAACTATTTATCAATCTCACTAATGGCCAATCTTATGAATAAAAGCATGATTACTCCATGTTCTTGGCCTTTTACAAATTGATATTAAGTCAAGATTTGTAACATATTCTCCCTTATGTTGCCTTTCATACTTTGTCTTAATGATCTGCTTTGGTGAGCTTTAAATGTTTTAGAGAAAACAAGTTTAATGGTAAACCCTTATACTTGAAAGCATAAATATTTTAGTTTTCCATAACAAATCACATTTTGATAAAATAATCAAGCCTGCCGAAAAAAATATATGCCACACCCATCAATGAAACATCAAATCATATCTTCTTCTTGTAACTTCCTAATTGAATAGAACCAAAAATCTATCAATAACTGGAAATGAGGTATTATTCACCAAGGATGACATTGAAGGGTATCGCATGTGGCTCAGGGGGTTGATTGAACCTTAACAAAGCAACTTTAGAGAAAAAAATTCATAGTATTATGACTGAATTTAAAACAAAAGTTAACATCATTAATGGAAAGGACATCTGATGTAGGCAAAGGTGGGGTCAACTCAAATCCAAAATAAGTTGGATTTGACTTCCCTTAAGCTTACAAGCTCAATGAAATTTGAGCTGGAATTTAGCTCATTTATGAGCTTGTCTTTAGTTCATTTATTGAACTAAGGGTTAGCTCATTATTAGCTAAGTTTTAGTTCATAGTTATCTTTTAGTTAATGTAATTTTATTATAGTTTTTTATGTCTTAATTTAAGTTGTCCCTTGGGATTCCAAAATGGTTTTTGGAATCACAAGGAAGTTTGTTCTCCCATGCCGTGGCTCCTTGGCTTCAATGGTTGGCTGCTGTTTTTTGTGCATGGCTCCTTGATTCTCACTGTGGCTGCAGGTTTTCCGAACTGGGGGCCTTCCTGTGGATTTTGGCGCCTCGGTTCCGTGCGGCCTCTTGGGTTCCCGTGGCTGTTTCCTCGGTTCCCTAGCTGGGCTGTTTTTCCGTGAAAAGCAAGGGGGCTTTTCCATGGCTTGTGTTGTTTGGATTCCTATGGGAATTAAATATTGTGTCTGTTTGTATTCCCCCTTTCATACCTATAAATATGAGAGGTTATGCAATGTTTTAAAAAAGTGATATATGAATTTTTGAAAAGAAATCTGCGAATTTTCTTGGAGAAGCTTGCGAGCTTTGTCCACCTTCTTCTTCCACCTCCTTTGGAAATCTTGCGAGCTCTTTCCACCCTTCTTCTTGGCTTCTAACCTCTTTCGTCTCTCCGCAAGTGACCACCCCATCTGTATCCTTCGTCTCTAAGTGAAGCAAGTTTAAGGTGTCTTACTATTAGATTCAAGTTTGTAAGTCGTTTCATTTTAATCTGTGTTGTAAGTTTTTTTTTTATTTCTAAGTCTGTTTTAGATTTGAAATGTAAGAGTTTGTTCGTCTTATTACGTAGGAGTCCCCTTTCTTTTCTTCGGGTCTACTCTTTGTGAGCTGAGGTCCTCGGGTTCCCCCCATGATGTAAAACAATCCATGCGAAAGTGATTTGATTAAAGAAGTTTGCACGTGTAGATGTAGAGGCAATAATAAGCAGGATCTTATGCGGAATTGAACGATAAGTTAAATATTAAAGTGGTACCTAGCTTAAGTTATCTCACATGCATAGAATTAAGTTCAAAAGATAGCCAGCTTAATCTAACATAGCATACATGGATAGTTCCAACAATAGATTCCAATACTAACAATAAGATTAGTCTATGAAAGATCCCTCACACAACTCATCTAATTACTATGCTTTAGCGGAGACGCATTAATATGATCTTCATGAAGATAATAAATTCACATTCAAGGATGAAACTATGAAGATAGCGAATCGGATGTTGAGTTTACCCAAAGACAAGAGAGATACGCACTCCTGCATGATGATTTGAGTGTTGGGGACGACTAGGACAGCCACCATGAGCTTCTTCGCACGACCGATTAGCCACGACAAGGTGTGGATCTTCAAGACAGCAGCAGTTTCTAATTTGGACAGATTCTGGACATCATTTGGACCCTTCCGGATGAAGCTATGGTGCTAGGAGATTTGTAGAATCAGTCGACAGCAAGTTGTAGAAGAGCGTCCAGCAGTTGGAAGGTTTTAGTAGGCAGGAATTTAAGTTTCCCTCGCTGGAATTCTTCCGGATACCGTTGGGCAGCAACCAGGATTTGTGGGCAGCAATTCCATCTCCCAAAACAGCAATTATGGGTCTTACAAGGGCTGAGGGAGCAAGGCAATCGGCTGAATTTCAGGCTGCAGCTTAGGAAGAAGAGGGCTCCACGTTGGATTGAGTTTGGAGAAGATTTAGTGGAAGAAAATTAGGGAGAGGGGCTTTGGAAATTTCGGCCAGCAGCAAGGAATGAGTTAAACTCTTTCCTAGAGAAGTCATGGCCAATCAATTGAAGCCCATTAAGGTGTGGCCGGCGGTTTCAAGAGAGAGGGAGGGGAAAAAAATGATAATCCTGATTTTAAATTCAGAATTTGAGAGGTTTTGGGGGGAAATCAATTTGAAATTTGATTTCAAATTAAATTGTAATCAATGCATTAATTGGTGGCTTGAATGGGGCTCCATTCAAGGTGAGGCCGGCGGCATGGAGAGAGGGACCTTGGGCTTTCCATAGAACTCACACAGAGATCTAGGAGAATTGAACTCACCAAGAGATCAATAAAATATAAACTCACAAAGAAAACACAAAGAGAAGAATTTCATTTTCAATAATCATCATCCTTTCCAAGAGGAAGGGGAAGGCTTAAATAGCCAAATACATGAAGGAAAATAAAAGACACTATTGCCCATAGGGCAAACATAAGGCAAAGCCTTCAAGTGAGGGTAGAAAGGGAAAAGTACAAATAACAAATCAAATACATCAAGATAAATAGACACGATCGTAGCCGTTGATCTTCGATGTCCTCATCACCCCATCCCCCGGATTTTTGCCCGCATCAACATCTACGAAGACCACAATTTATCTTATGGACCACCAACTTATGTACTAAAAAGGTTCTAGGATTCAAATGGGTTTTAAAATATGTGGACCAACGTAAAGCGATCCTTAGACCTGGGGTGCCAGCATGTAATTAACCCCAAGAAAAAATAGACGAGCCTCATAGTAATGGATTTATTATTCTGTGCGGAGTCCGGAGGACGTCCGGGGACCAATAAAAATGTGCCACATCACCCCATTGTTGGGTACCCAGCTCGGTACCCGCACTTAGTACCCCTCGGTACCGCTGGGTATCCAGCGCTTAACCGAACGATTCTCCTTTTCGGTGTCCGTACAGAATAATAGCTCCATACTAATGTAAATTTTTTTTATTATTTCACCATTTGAGAAAACTAGTGCAACTAAGACAGATTGATTGTCGATTCTTTAGGAATTGAGAAATACAATCAATCCCTTGCGGAAAATACACCTGATAAACTGCTTAGAAACTAAATTTAATAAGTTGGCATTAAAACAATATGAGTGTCATATAACAACTCTTCTGTCATAGGCTCATAGTTGACCTACTACATTTTGTGAATTCTAATAGACAACAAGATCTCAAATACAACAAAAAGTACTAACCATTTACCTGTATTCTTCCCCTTTGAGCAAACTTCGGAAGAAGAGAAGGCCCTAATACCATTGGGAAAGCAAGTTAACTTATCGTCGCTGGAGATACTAGAAGTATTCTGAAGAAGAGAAAGGCCTAAAGAAAACTCAACATCATTAGGATAAGTAAAACAGTAGGTTAAATATAGAGCATGAATATGTAAATACACTACCAAAGCAACATAGTCATACGCATTTATCGAACCTGATAAATACTTGATGCAACTTATAATAATACCAACAAAAGACAAGTGCGTTCCTCCAAATTCTGATTTTTCCTTCATACTTAGCAAGTAGTTCTGTTACAAGAATGTGACAATTGATCACTAAACCACGAAGAATTAAAAAAAAACTATCGAACAGAAATGTGTACATACAGATTTAGAGAGGGGACAAGAAAAAGAAGTATTTCATAATTTCTAAACCTGATTGTTTTTACTTAGAAAAGTTGCATTCTCCAGAATCTTCAAACACTTGAGAAGAAAGACAGCACTTTCAAGGGAAACACTGTCACCGTCTTTTGAAGCTGTAACTGTTGACAATTTCTTTTTAAACCAACCCTACAATACCAATTTTACCATTTTGTTAAATAATTTTTATGAGATATTCTAATAACACACTTAAATGAAATGCATTAAAAAATATATTTGTTAACATGTTGCAGATCACAGGAATGATGGATGACTAAGAACAAGATTTCATATGCTATAAGACAATATGAAGATGCAGTCAACTCAAACACATAGCAAATGAATATGTTGCACTAAATTGAACTCTACTAACAAAAGGAAAGACAATATGATAAAATGAAAAAAGGTCAAAATAATCCATAGACTATTTATATCTTAATCATGGCTATCTAATGTGCTCAATTTAATCCCTTGACTACTCAAGTACGATTCAAAATTGTCCTAATATTGGATTATTTTGAATCAGATTTGAGAACTCAAGAGACTTAATTTAAGACATAAGATAATTTGGAACTAAAGCGGATCACCATAAATAGTTTAAGTACCATTTTGAAATTTTTCTTAAATGATAAATGAGTCTAAGATTTTGATGTAGAACGGGTAGGAGGCTTGGATCCTAAATGTCTTGAAGAGAAAATCAAGGGGTCTAAACAGCAACTTTTGACTCTTAGAAAGTTCTGGACAGCAATCTCAGGGCAGCTGTTATAAGGCTGCTGGAGGCTTTTGAACAGCAATTTCAGACCTCCCGGGGTGCAGGACAGCAGTTGGTGGCTGCAGGAATCTGTGGACAGCACACAGGATACAGCAGGAATTGTTGGACAGCAATTTGCTATGGGTAAAACAGCAACTGGCAAGCTTCAGGTTGCTGGAAACCCAAGGTGAGGTCTTTGGAGAATTTCAGCCAGCAGTAGAGGAGAAGGAGCGCTCTTCTCCAACCAAGAAAGCCTTTGAAGGTCTCGGCCAGCAGCAGTGAAGGACTTTAGAAATCTTTCCAAAGAAATAAGCTGAAAAAAAACTGAGAGGAATTAACAGGGAGAGGTGACGGGATTGCAAGTTTGCTGTCCAGGAAAACTGAAACAATTTCAAATTTTCCAAGTGTGGTAAGTAGGGAATTTAGGTGGAGAGTTTAGCCGTGAGTCAAAAGAGGTATTGAAGAGAGAAAAAAAAAAGGAGGATTGGGGAGAGATAGGGGGGCGGGTGAGAGAAACGGGAAAGAAGGGAATTGATTTCCTAAATCAATGATTTGATTTAAAATTAATTGAATGCATTGGGGAATTTGGGAGATTCGGCTAGAGTAGGATAGCCGTATGACACAGGGAATTCAATGGAATTTAATTCCTGAAATTAAACTTCCTTAGATTAGGGAATCAATTAGTAGAGCAAGGCAAGGGAAATTTCGGTTATGAAGGGGATTTTGAATTATTTCCTAAATCTAGACTTGATTTAGGAAATAATTTGAAATAGGATTTAATGAGGCTAATTAAGACTTCTTAATTTGGTTT